GTTATTCATTCTTCAAATTCATTATCAAAATCTTCTTTTTTTTCACCAATAGTTGTGTCCAAATCACAACTAGGTCCTTCATATTTTCCGCATTCATTGTTCACTTCATTGAAATCATCATCATGTTTAATTTCAGGTGCATTCCTAATTTGTTTCTCCTTATCATTATTGCCTAAATTACAAAAACAAAACAATATTTGTAAATATTTAGGAACTTTTTTCTTTAAGAAATTAAGAATGCATATTTATGTAAATAACAAATGTAAATATTTAACTTGTTCTTTAATTCATCTTCCTTTTCTTGTAAGAATATGTTATGAAAATGTCTTATCTTCCTTGTGTAATATTTTGTGATTCTTCATCTGCATTTGTCGTGGGCACATTTTTTATTACATCAACATCAAAAACATGTTCATTTTCATTCATCCAAGAAGGTTCTTGTGGAAGCACTGGATTTTCTTTCTCAACTATCCACTCATCATCGGAGTCTATATCATTTATCAGTATTAGATCGAAGTCTCGTTTTTTTCTTATACTTCTTTCCCTCAATCTAGCATTGTATCTTACATATACCAGGGCATTCAACTTCTTGTGCTCCAACCTATTGCTCTTCTTAGTATGAATCTAAGATAAAAAATATTATTTTTAAGAGGTGATTATGAAAACAAATAGTACTAGTTTTAACTTTTAAGAAATAATGAAATTATTACCGATTCAAAAGTGCTACAATTTCTTTCACAACCTGATGAACTGCATGTGAGGCTAAGAACTCGAATCGCAAATTCGTTAACTCGAGTGTTTTCCCACCAAATATCATCCACCAATCAGTAGAAATCTCAATTTTCTTGAATCTATAACAACTCTACTCTCAAAGTCTCCTCGTAAATTATCATACAAGCCTAATTGAATATCATCTCTAAGACAATCTTCATAGTCCAACATTCTTTCCATACAAGCAATTAACCCTTTTACCTCATCTTCGTTAAAAAAATAATCCTCAAAGCAAAATTGAGGGTTTAAATAACAACCAACAGTATGTAGTGGTTTATGAACTTGGACTTCCCATCTTGCATCAATTTTCCTCCAAATAGGTACATACTTCTTTTCATTATGCCCACAATTAAAAATATTATTTTCTTTTGCTAAATCCATTAACTCATAAACATAACTCATGGCCGACCGTTTTTTTCTGAGTCTACTTCTCTTAGAACATTTACAAGAGGCACAACACTTTTGATACAATAAGCAAGATGATCCTAAAAATGTGGATCAAACAAAATAAGAGCTCGAGCTTTTAGACCTTTCATCTTCTTTGTTCATTCACTATAACACCAATCTTCTAAGGAGAACATTGTCTGAAGTAGTTGTTTCAGCTTGTAAATGCTTTGAAAAGTCAAATATGTCATAGCAAACCGTGTGATGGCCGGACGAACGAGTTCCCTCTCATTTGTAAAAGATTTCATCAAACCTAGAACTCATGTGTGCCCATAAATGAATTTTGCAACTTGTTTTGCTTTTGCAAGTGTGCTCTAGTGAATATTCAACTTTCCAATGTCTTCTAACATTAGGTCAATACAATGTTAGAGGAAAAAGAACAAAAAGAAGGAGAAGTCGGAGGAGAGGAAGGAAGAGGGAGAAAGAAGAAGAAAAAAGAAGAATAATAAGAAGGAGATGTCAGAGGAAACCTGTCGAGTTCAAACTCTGCGTGCGATGGAGGAAGCAGAGTACTTGCTGGGGATGACTGCGTGCGGCCTGAATCGGATAGGTATTTAAAATTAAGAATTTTTCACATTTTTTTATCTATTAGGAGGAGGCGTCCACGCAATTTATGCCTACCTTGTGGACTTGGGCGGAAAGCCTTGGCGGGGCCCCAAAAACATTTTTTTAAACAAAGGGTACGACACTACCTACAAGTTGAATTTAAGGTGCCAAGCTCGGGAGCTGACACGAAGTGTAGTAACGAAACCCAGTACAAGATCGCATACGAGAGACACGAGCTGAAACAGCCAAATCGAGCAACAATGAGGTGAGGCTATGTTTTATTATGTTTTTCAGAATGAATAATTAATTGATAAGATATTAAATGCTAATTTTAGGTTTTACTTTTAAAAAATCAGGAAGGGTAGAAGAATATTCAAATTAGAGAAAAAAGAACAAAGCTTGTGATAATAAAGATTAGTGTTATTTAAAATTTTATTTATAGCCAATTTAATTTTAAGTTATTAAGTATTAATATTAGCTTTTTTTTATTAATTATAATCAGATGTGTGAATTAAAAGAATTGAAACAATCGTTAGTTTTATAGAAGAAATAAGATAAAAATAAAAATTGAGGTAAGTCGATCATGTAACTACATTATGTTGATTAAATATTTAATCCTAGAGTAGTTAGCAGTATTAATAGATGTTAGAATCTGATAAATTAGAAAAGGAATAAAATAAAATTTTGAAAACACGTGTATTAATGCTATAAATAGCATCTTTAATTTTGTCATTCGATGAAATTAATCAAAATAAATCTTTGTAGTGTTGAGAAAGAGCGAAGAGGCTAATATAAAAGTCAAAAAAGCTTACAAGATCATTTTATAAGGTGAAAATAATATGAGTAATTATTGTTTTCTATATATTAACTTTTTTTTATTTTAAAATTTGTTTCATTTATTTCATATACGTTGGAAGTTTTAAAATATTTCTAAAAGTAAAAGGGAGTAAATGAAAGAAAATTAAATGACCATGTATTATTTTAAATTGTTTCACAAATTGCATTGTACAAAAATAAAAAAAGCTTTGGTTAAATAAATAAAGATATTGAGTATCTTTTAAATGATATATAAATGGATATGACAATCAGGAGTCAGTCCCTTATGCTACTTAGCTAGGGATGCTATAATACCCACACACGAATTTGAAAATGAAAATGTAAATTGTTTTACCTTGATTTGTACAAATCTTTATAACGTGCTCCAAAGAGGACTTCTTAAAAGAATGGAAATTGTAAATGTTTCAAAAAATTATTAACTAAAAAAATAATATTAAAAAGTATTTATGAAAATAAAATTTTAAAACTTACTTTAAAGATTAATATCATTTTTGTTTTGAGCATTCATATTACAACATGTCCATAAAGATTGTGCATAGCAAAATAATAATTATTTATTAAGTTGTTGTAAACTTAATGTGTTATTTGCCCGTTTCTTTAAAAAAAAAAAGCTCAATTAACTTATAAAGACTAAGATAAGAGATCATGTCTTTCGTAGAAGAGATTCAAGTGAATATAGATATTAGATATTGTTATTTTATGTATAATTTTTTTCATTAGTATTGTTGCACAAATGAAAATCCTTACGTTGGTTTGGATGATGTTTTATATATTTTTATGGTTTAGTGATTCTTTCTATTTAGGGAAACATTAGAGAGAGTCGTCTTAGATGGTATGGTCACACTAAACGCCGCCATCTGATGATCCGATTAAGAGAGTAGATGTTATAGATTCAACTTATGTTAAGAAAGACAGAGGTAGACCTAGGAAGACTTGGGCTTATTGTATAAAAAATGATCTTAATTTATAAGAACTAATGAAAATATGACACTAAATAGGACGCAATGGAGAAAAATGATTCATGTAGTCGACCCCACATAGTGGGACTAAGGCTTTGTTTTTGTTGTTGTCGTTGTAGCGATTCTTTCTGTTTGGATGATTGTTATTGTGAATTATTATGATTGTTAATGATGAGTTACTACTATCTGACTGTCTGTTCTCGCGGTATTTACAAGTTCTCGGGTCGTGACATCTAAATAGCAAGCAATCATATTTATGTTAATGAAACATTCAACCAAACTAGTATGAACAAATCCCTGCCAATGAATAAATTTAAATCACACTACAAAATCAACATTACCACCACGATATGCACAAGATACCTGACAGGAGGCAACCATGATTGATAATAGATTTTGATCTAGTATGCATCCATCCCCCAACTATTCTCCATCAATTCAATTCAAACCAAGATATTAAAATTGGACCTAATCAATCATCTTAATCTAGAATGCTCTCGAGAGAGCAAGAGAGGAGCCAACTATGGAGACTTTGGTAAAAAAGTTTGATCTAAATTTAAATAAAACCTTGACAAACATAGAGAGATTTATATAAAAAAAGTAAGAAAAAAAAAACAGAGAAATTTGGTCAAAACAAATCTCATTCATCTCAAGAAATATTATTGAGCATTCTATTACATATCCAAGAGGCTCAAGAGAGGAGCTATTTTTTTTCCAAACCGATCACTTGATTTTATTACTCTAACATCCAATTCCTTGTCCACAATCTTTTAGTTATATACAACACTTTGCAATATTTGGAGATGAGTTATTACCCTAAGGAAAGTGATGCAACACCATATATCCCTTATTGTAGCAACTCAGCATCATCTTGTGACCTTGAAAAACTCCTAGTTCATCACTATTTTATTTTATTGAGATTTTTTAATTATTCTGAATCTATTTACAACCCTAGCTCTACAAACATGGAGTTATGGCGCGTAAATGAATAACAAATTATGAATGACTTTATTTGAAAAGATGCCGTCCTCTTTTGACTCTCCTCTCTCCCATCCCAATAAGGTTACCCTCAGTTAATGTAATTATGTGCCCAAAATTCCCATTTACATCTCTCTCTCTCTCTCTCTCTTAATTTTGTAAACATTAGAATCTTCTCTCTCCAATCCCGTGCATGCATCCAAAGGGCCTACATAATTTCTCTTTCCCAAATGTCGTAGAACATAAATTTAAGGAGACCAAAGAAATTAAAGTGTTTGATAACATTATTAAATTTGCATCCAATTAACAATTGTTCTTCATCAATTAGTACCAGACCCAAATGTTTTGAAGGTAACTACATCTTACATCTAAATAGATTCCTTACTAATATCATCCTATACCACCAATAATTCTCACATAAAAAAGGAAAATGAAAAAAGGAATTGAGTTACAAAATTATCATACCTTGTTAGTAGCCTGTTTTATGTCCCGAACAAAAGCATTCAATTCTTCATTCACTCCACTGAAGGGGTGGAAAGCTCTTCGACATAAGCCATCTGCTGCATAGAATAGTACCTGAACGATATCCAAAATCTTGAACAAATCAAAGACTTCCATAGCTGCAACTTCAAATCAAATCTATATATAGATTTATGATTTTTTGATGTGATATGAAAGATTTGGTGGTAGGAATGTAAAAAACAAAGTTTATGTGTTAAGATTTGGGAATTGGATGGTATGTACGTAGATCCAACCCACCCCAACAACATCTTACCATCCAACACAAACACACTCGCGCACAAATAAAATTGAAAAAGATCATCGATACCAACTGATAGTTAATAATTGCAACAAAAAACACAATTCAAATATAATTGAAAATGATCACCAATACCAACTGATAGTTAATAATTGAAAGAAAAAAACACAAGTAACTAGTTTTATTCTACCGTATATCCATGCTTCTCATTCTCAACCCCACGTTCAATTTGCAGTGTCCCTTTTGTACCATCAACTCGCCAATAAATCTGAGGACAACATTTTCTATGCAGAATTAACAATCCTTTTAATAGCTACAATTATTTCAGAAAAAAAATTTATAAAAACCTAATACATCTTATTGGTCTAGTTAGTAAACCTCTCCTGTCAACAAAGCATTTTACGAATAATGGAAAGAAATTCACTCAGCATACTTATTCCATCAATGCTTGGAACATAATTCACCTTTGGTGACGGCGAAGACACTGCCATTACAAATACGCCAGCACATCCATTTTCCAGTCGGCTACATGTTATCATAGGGAAATTTACATATGTCGCATACAATTCTTATGTATTTACATATCTCACAACTAAACTTTCATATTTACATAACACTTTGATGTTTTAAACTTATGCATGAAAAGATGTATTTCACTTTTAAACACTGGCAATAATGCTATTTTTGATGTGATATTAATGATTCGAGTACGTGTGTAAATATGAAAGTTTAAGTGAGAGATAAGAAAATACATAAGAATTGTGTGCTATGTATGTAAATGCCCCATTATAAAATTTGAAATGCAATTTGTTAGAATACTAATGAGCTCAGCAATTTTAAACAGCTATTAGAAGAAGACTCACAACAAGGAACATAAATTATCGGGTGGCGGCAAATTTTTATCGACATGTCGAGCAATAGCTGAAACTGCAGTAATTTCACAACCAGCAAGCTGTGATAATCATGAAAAAAAATGCTTCTTTTAGTACTATAAGAGGAAACATAAAATGAGAAGAACATAAAATGAATATTTAAGCATTCAACTAAATACATTGATATCAGAGTATGATTAACGTAGCAGATCAGGCCACATAATATTCTCCCTGGTCATCCAAAATGAAAAATTATTAGAATTCCAAGTTAATTCTGCTTTAGATTGCTTGATTTAGTAGGCTTAATATGAGATGAGAGTCAGAGAACTCAAATTAGCAAGTCGACAACCCCCTACTTTCCAGCTATGGTAAAAATA